GAGGAATGAAGGCCCTCACTACGAAGCTGGCCTCAGTTGGATCGTCTCGGCTCCCTGGTTGGGGTCCGAAAGACGATGAACACGTTTGGCTGGATACACTTGTTGATATGGCTAGGAGCAGACCTCAGTGCCGTTCGTGCTGTGTTTCATTGTCCCACCCCATCCTTCTTAGCCTCCCCCTCCAACCACGATCTCATTATTTAGCATTTTATAATTTTGCATAGGCAATTTTTTCTACTGCATAGTAGCCGGCAGATAGCTTATCGGAACGATGCCCATCCGTTAGCGGTAGCTCAGCTGGCTTGTACCTGTTGCATTTGACTCCTCTTTTTTCGTTTTCATATTGCGGTACAGTGGCTGAGGTGTTTCCCACCATTAGCTAACGCGTATAGTGTGTGTGTGTGTTCTGGAGCCCTTCCAGCGCGTTTGATAAGACATTCACAATCGCAAAGTTGTAGGGAAACGAGGACATTTGACATTCCTGTCTCACACCGCTAGTGACGGTGAAAGGTGAAGTGAGCTTACCGTAAGCTCTTACTCTGCCAGAGACATAGCTGTATCAAGAGAAAAAGGATGGTGTTATACTTATCAAGTACCCACTTACTTTGCAGACAACGCCATCAAGCAGGCAGATCGACCAAGTTGAATTTAGCTCGGATGTCCAAAAAGACGAAAATGTTAGACTGGCGATAAAGCTGGCGCTGCTCAAGAAGTTGGCGGAGAGTAGACATGTGGTCCACATACCGTCGACCGCAGCAAAAAAACCAGGGTGTAGTTCACGAATCGATGTTAGTCTGCGCAGTAGAATGTATATTAGCAATTTGGAAGCGACGGAGATTATACTGATTCTTCTGTGGTTGGCGCATGAAGTACGAGTCACCATCCTCATCATTATACACGTTAGCTACAAGTGGAAAACAGCTCAGCTATTGTGCCGCAAAACATGAGGAAAGAAAAAATGCAATGGCACGCCCACTGAGTCACCGGTGACGGATGGACATCATTCCGGAGAGCTAGCAGCCGGCTATTGTGCCGCAAAAAGAAGTATTTTATTATGCATATGAATTGCGATTGTGGTTGGACGAGGAGGCTAAGCGGGAGGAAGTGGGACAAAGAAACTGACAACACGAACGCCGCTGAGGTTGGCTCCTAGCCATATCAACAAGCGGATCCAGCCAAACGTGTACGAGCACACTTTTGGAAGATGGGTACGATTATCGTGAGGATAAAACCTTACCTTCACACCAGATCATGGAGAACAGAGTTGTCAACTGGCTGACAATTGCTTTGCCACCGAATTTGAACAGCTCCGGAGGAAGTCCGTCCGAGCCAGCAGCTTTGAATCGCTTCGGGTGACGAAGCTCAAGACAGGCCTCCACTTCGGTAGGTAGTTCCAATGATGGGTTCCAAGGTACGCAATTAGGTGCATTTGTTAAACAACCCGAAGCAGGAGGTCAACTGAACTGAGCGTGAAAGTGCTCAGCGCAGTGGTCCATGCGCCTACGCAAATTAAGGATTGGTGATGCAGCAGCCACGCAAAAAGCTTCACGTACACCAAGTCTTCTGTGGCCAGTGGTCCGAATGACCTGGAAAAGCTTACGAAAATTATCAGAGTGAGTTGTTGTCCCCATCTCCAAAGCGCGCTGCGAGAAACAGGTTTTATGACCGTTATGCCAGCTTTGCTTGAGTAGTTGGTCGAGGTTACGGCGGACTTCCTAGCAGATTGAATCAGCTGGGGTAGCTGGATGACCGTCAAACAATTCCACAGAGCGAGCAGAGACCAACCTCTTAGATGAGGCCCAACAATTCCACAGAATGACTGACCGGAAGAAAGCAGCGCCGTCTACCAGAAACGTTGATGTTAGACATCTAGGCGGAGCCCCAGCGAGCGAATATGATAAGAAGGATTGCTAGGCCAGTTGAACAGAGGGGTTAGCTAGCCTGTTGGCATCCAACCTACGGTACTTTGACTTCGAGGAACCTCCAACCGCATGTAGATGTCTGCACAGACTAGAGCGTAATCTGAGTAGAAGTAGGTGAATGAAATCGATGTGTAATCTTGTATGCTGCTCAGCCATTTGAAGCTAATTGCAATGTGTTCAAGTCGTGTCCGCGATTTTGTTGGCGAAGGGGGACGTCAAGTGGCCGCGTCTCCTTCGTACTCACGACAAAGAGTCGGTTGTCCTTACTTAACGTGAGAAGCTTCTCTCCGTTATTAAATCGACCATCAGCAAGAGCATGACGGCCACCAAGAGGATGTTCGTGCATTGAAAGCTCCGGTAAGGACGACCACCTTGGATTTTTCGGCCTTATTCAAAAGTTAGTAGAGTCCATGATACAAGTCGTCTTTAACCGATGCACAACTGTAGTCGGTTGAGGCGTAGGCGGAAAGCACAAACAAATTGCCTCCCTCTGTACAATGCCTATTAATCATGCATGAGCCTTGAAGTCGAACTGCACACAATCGGTTGTCAATAGCGAACCAACAGTAGGGGGGTCTTCAGCTTTGTCCCTTAATGCGGTGCCAATACCAGCCAGCCAGCTAGATAGCTGCAGCAGTTTCTGTTTCGCCAAACAAATGCGAGATCCACAGTGGACGTCAACTTATCTCCGGTGCTGGAGTTCTGTAATCGAGTCTCAGAAAGGCAGCAGACATCAATAGCGTTTGACTTCAGGGTGCGCGCTAGGCCGGCTTGTTGTTCGATCTGCAAAAAGTTCTAACATTGAAGGATGCCAGCTTAAATGTAGATCGACGTCGAAGAAAGGCCACTTGGACATGGGCAAGACTGTCATCAGAAGTAAAACTAAAGAAATTAGTGACTAGGTGGGATTAGCGTGTGATAAAGATGCGTAGGCAGTGAGAAGGACAGTAGTGAGAGAACAAGGTAGCAGTAGTGCATACAGGATCCATGGTTCAGTCATTGGGCAAGATACTACCCGGTTACCCCAGGCGAGGTAGGGAATCGTGTTAGAGGACACCACCCCGAGCCTTTGGTTGAACAACCTACCCGCAAGGAAGCGGAGCGAATTCAGGGAATCGCGCCCATTGGGAGCTGGTGACCGATTACTCAGTTCATACGCTTTTTGTTTGGATACTTAAAAGATAGGGGCCAAGTTCTCCTTACATTTACAGCATTGGATTGCATGAATACAATGGCCCACCAGATTGAAATAGGGAGCAGTAACTTTATTTAGTGGCGAATCACATCCGCCACGACAGTGTTGTTAACCGGACACATGACTTTTACAGAGAGGATCTTTGCCAGGCGAAAACCCATCACTTCCTGAAAAACTGCAGCCGAACCTTCGGCAGGAATGGGATAATCCCCAACCATCCAGTTGGCACCACGAGAAGGTTGGTCGGTGTGCTGTTGCAGGATGACTTGGGTTGCTCCACGCAATCCGAAAAGGCCTCGAAAGCTGATAACCGACACATCGGGTTGTTGTCACCGTTGATTGGACAAACAGACATATCGATTTTCCGACCAACGCACAATGCGTATGTCCATCCCCATGTCGAATACACAAATCAAACCTGACATCCATTGCTGAAACACGATCTTAATGCATTGCAGTAGCCCCCAACGTCGGGCATCTAAATATGCCACCACAGTGCGAAATCTCTCATACGAGCGGAGGCTGAAACGATTAGGGACGTTCAGCGAACGGAATCGCAGATTATGAGGCGACGTGATAATGGCCTACTTGATGCTGCCCGATCCACATTATGTGCGCCGCACCTTACGGCAACTCAGCAGTAATACAAACCTTGGAGGTCACCCAATGAAAGTCGCAGAACAGTGTAGCCGACTGGAGTGCCGCAGGGATACTTATTCCATTCGCGTATGTCATCCGTAGAAGGCTCTTCCTGAATCAGTCGTCTATACGACGAAACTAGTAATGTTTGGAAAATTGTTGGATGACACACTCATCCATTTACCCTTTATTACTTAGCATTATATCCCAATTCTACTTCTGAAGTGTAGTTTGGATTTCTTTGCTGTTAACTGTGAGTGCTGTGAAACCACGCAGATTGCAGGACTACAGAACAAGAAAAGATAATTCCTTCTGTTCATACTTAAAGTACTAAGTGTTTTCATCATTAGATAGTCTTACCAAACCACCCAAGTGGATTTGTAAAGCAGTGCTCCACATCCCGTATGAATTCATTGTTCATTTACCTAGTGGATCACACAGTGCATGGCCGCAAGCTAGCAACTGGAAAAGCGATGAAGATGTACCCTACCTTTGACGTGGACCGCATAGGTTCTGGCCGGATGGATGGCAAAATTGAACATGGGTCCAGCACGCTTTCAATGAAATCAGCTGCGCTATGCATTGTTAACCAATGCACTTCCCTGTTATCCTGTTCGATGACAGCATAGTTTAAGATTGCAGTTCAGATAAGGATGGGAAGCGAACATAATGGTCGCCAAGGTGGTAAGGCAAATACTCACGGGCTCAGAAGTGCCACTAAGGGGAACTAATAGAAATGAGGATGATTAGGTGCCGGGAACAGAGGCTTTGATCGAGTTGGTATCTCGTGAACATGAGTTCATGCGTGAGACTCCGCTTACACCAATCTCAAACAGGTTAGTGGACTGACAAGTGTAGTAGAGAGGAGTGTGGAGCACAATTTGGGTGAGCATGACTGTGGTGTAATGGAGCACTTTGTGAAAAATGGCATCAACAATACGCCGGCACACCGTGCTGACGCTTCGCTGCCACGCGGTCATCATTAGTCGTGCGTGGCCTGGGTGCACCACGAGGTCGTCTGCACCTACGCGGATCCGAACCGGTGACCTCCAGGTTACAAGGCGACTACGTAACCCATTCAGCCATTGGTCGAATTCGTGGGTCACTTTTGAAATCGGCCTAAGGAAAATGGCTGCAGGTGAGGAGAATAAAAACGAAAGCCAGAGTGAAAAAAATGTGGATCACTATCGACATAGTCAAGTGGAACTGAAACATAAAAACACAGAGATAAAGTGTCAAGATACCTTTGGATATCGCATGGAATGGAGAAATTTGCGACCAAAGTGGAAGTCGACAGGAGAAGCACAGATCGTTGTGAGCCGATGTTCAAATTGGAGCCTGTAAGACGCAAGATAGTGCCCCCAGCCATTGGACCTCGTTCCGGAGCAATTTTCATCAAGTATGGGTTCAAGAATTGAAAAATCGGAGAGAAAGCCTAGGGTGGAACAGGTAAACCGAAAATTCGAGAGCGTTGCTGAGGACATCGTGAACAATTCAGGACCGCATAACGTAACAGACTGAATCTGAGAGAAGGGACAGGAGCCCAGTCAGCGATAATGTAGAGGATCTTAGTTACCAAATAATTTCGCAACAGTTGCGATGTGATAAAGCCAAGATGTTGTCTGGATCCAACGACTACTTGTGTATAATTAGTGAGTCAGTGATGTAATGAGATACATCAATTAATTCAGCTCACTTTATCAGCCATTATCAGTGCACCGCAGTACAGTGGATCTGGTTTCATTGGTGCAACACGTTGTAATAATAATAATAACAGCAATAGTACTAAAAATGATATTAATAACGCCGACGCAAAGGGAGTGAACCGGAATTATGATCATCGGATGGAATAGTTGGAGGTAAGAAATGATGGAGCGGATGAAGGAACGCAAGAACGAGGCGACTCTGTATCCTATACGGTATGCAATCACAAGGTGGCTAATCCAGAGGCTCACACACAGGACGACGACATTCATCAACCAAGTTTAGCTGCTCCGTGGATTTCTTCATGCCCTGCTGAAATGCCGTTGGTTGGCCATCTAGTGGTTCCACCCAATTTAACGCAGTGTTGGCAAACAATACAAGCCTACGAAGCCAGCCGGTCGAGGTGCGGAGAAGATAAGTGTAAGCGATCGGAGTTCTCACAGACATTACGATGAAGTATGTCAAACATCCTTTGCCGAAAGTTAGTAGTACTCATTTGATGATCCCACCGAAAATGAGAAGATTTAGTGTGCATTGGTGGATGAAAACGGCTGAACTACTAATGCTTTCAACGTACTCTAGCCCAGCGCCCTCATGCGCTTAGCAGTACTGGTCGCACCGCAGCGTTATGATTCCCCTTCACTAACAGGCTTAAGTGAAGCTATCATCATAAATGATTGAGGCTTGGAACGGCTACATCAGCCTTCGTAATGTGCGCGGTATCCCTTTAGTGATGTGATCCAAAGGATGGTACAGCTACCCAGATAGTTAAATCGATCGATCGCATCGAGCTGTCATTCAGTAATGATGAGAGCCATTGCTTTGCATTTTGAAAGTTGTAAGCACGTGTCAGAGAGTACCAATGTCACAATAGGTTAGACATAAGGGCTGGCACCAATCCAGACGCGTGCGAATTGAGCAAATGAGAAGAGGCAGCGTGTGTAAGTTTGCCATTCTCAAACGTCATATAGGCTGGCAGCAGATTGAGACAAAATGCTCTGGAAAGGTTAAAGTAGCAGGGAAAGAAACCTGACCGATTGTTGGAAGCTACAGCAGCTGTCAGAAAATGTTGTGGTGCGGATATCAAGATGAGGTGGGTCCGTCTAGTTGTAGAGCCAAACAGAGTGGTGGTAGCCAACACTGATAATCATTAGTGGTTCAGGCGGATACCATACTCAGAAATCCGTGGATCAGGGGTAGCAACCGAAGTAGGTATAAGAGCATTAGGTATAATGGGGTATATAGATAGGCGAGTTCGTGATAGCTGAGATCGAATATGTAAGCCGTGTGAGCGTGCAAAAAGGATGCACGTTTCAAGTGCGCCAAGAGAACGTGAGAGGTTGAAGCAGAATGAAGTCAAAACGGATGTTAATATTCAAGGAAGAATGAAGGTGAGCCTAATTGAGCAAATACGGTAATACAAAGTCAGGACCTAGGTGAATTAACAGCTATGTCAAAGGGCAAGTACCTCAAGCACTGATCGAAGTACTTCGATTAAACTGGCAGCAGGGATATGCGAGTAATCTGTTCCCAAAGGATGCACAGGGATACCAAGCTAGTAGACAACTTGGAGAACCGTACTGGATGGAAACAGAAAAGTGACCGCGACGATGAAGGGCATAAGTTTGTAGGCACTGGTGACCAACAGAAGATTGGAGCCCCATATCCACTGTTCATGACACAAAAGTGAGCAGACCATTCACAGGTGAGACGTCAAAGTGTTTTGGCAGAGATGGTCACAAGAGGCAGGAGCATCAATGCTGAGAGTTGTGACGTTAAAGCTCCAAAAAGAATACTTTAGTTCGCTGTGTAATGCTAAGTGAATACTGTATTGTGGGAACAAAAAGAAATTTAATTGTGTACAACTCCATAAGAATATGATAAAAAAGTTATAAGTAGTTGTCATCCGTCGAGTTCCTAATTGCTCTTCAATTTTTTATGTAACATTTATAAATACCTAACTCACAGTATTACTGAGCTTAAAAATGTGAGATGTCCTTGTCAATGTGCATTCGCTCTCTGAATCAAATAGTGGCAAAATACGAATCCAGAAAGGTTTCGTACTTCTGCACACATCTGGTAAACGCGACAAGTTCTGATAGACTGTTCCAAACATGTAACATCACAACACATCTACCGGGAGACGCGCATTACACCGCCCTCAAATCCGTCGTGCGTGGACCTGATGTTGACTAGCTGCGAACAGCCTGTGAGTGAAACGTCTAGCAGCGAAGGATCACTCAGTGGTAATCGCAAGCCTTTAGCTTTCGCTATCATACACGCGTCCGCTGGAGCAAGCCTACAACTACTGGAAGACTGACTTCGATGGTCTCACTCGAGCCGATAGTCAGATGCATTTGTCGGATCAGCAGGATTCAACAGTTGAAGTCTGTTAGTACTGTGTTTAGTGTGTTTTGAAAATCCATTTTTAATGCATTATCTTCGCGAATTCTTAGGAATTATGCTTTCGATTCGATTTTAGTATCTGGGAATAGTAGTTAATCCATTGAAAAGGGTTTTAGCACCCATACATTTACTTGGTGATTTTCCAAATCAAGAAAAGATTTGCTGATAGAATATATGATTGAGGATAAGTGGAGAGTTAGTTAACCTACGAATGTGTCATTTCATTTCTTCCAATGAGCATCATTGTTAGTTCTGGGTACATCGAAACGTCGTCAACACCAGTTCTGCGCTGCTAAAGCTGCAATTTGTGGAAAAAAACTGGCAACTCATTATGAGCAGTTAGAATATTTGTTATATTTCCTTGCATTGTGAGGTCCAGCGCATTTATTTCCCCGAAGAAATCCGCACGACCTCCCACTTTAGAAATAAACACATTGTCGGTTACTACTGCGTGTAATCCGTTCTCCTTACCCTTACACAGTTCCTTCCTTCCAAAAAACAGCTGCTTCCTCTCGAAGCCCGAGCACTCGGTGCAACACCTTGCCTCTTGATAACCTACGCCCCTAAATGCATGGCACAACACTTTTATCTCTCGCACTACCGCGGATGTTATGTACCATTTTCACTACCTTGGTTAAAGTGACTAAAAAAAGGCGCCCGATGTATCCAGGCGCGAACTTTTAGGGCAATTTCCTTCCGTTTAAAGAAGGTAATCTATTTTCATACGAACTGAGAATGACTTCGTTCAAAGCGTTCTTTTAATTTGCTAGGTTTCATGCTCTCCACCGCGAGCACTTTGCTACATAAAACCTATCACGGTTTCTCAACATTTTTATCGACAAAGTCAGTGAAGCCCTAGTGTAAAGAAGCTTCTCTATAGGACCGCTTATTCCTAAAGGAAATGGTTCCTGTAAAAATTAAGCAGGTAGGTGTCATACAGCTATATACGACACCTTGCAGATGAACTCATTATTAACAATATTAAAAAGCATCGAATTAATACACTCACCTACTATGGCTTCGTCTCAAAAACAACTGTAGATGAATGTGATCAACCCAACACCGAATAATCATTCGCGTCCAATCTGTTCTATCTGCATTGATTGTGTGGCCCCGAACTCAATGCTTTGCACACATCGAAACGCGTGCTTTTATCCCGATTCAAGATATGACCCTTTCGTGTGTGATTCCGTATCAAACATGAACAGATGTCAGTGGCTTCTAGTATATTTCCTCCTCCATTCCAAACCATTCCTGCACGGCAGCTTACCACCACCACTCTGTGAGCACTAATCGCCCCATCTGACCATTCTAAATTGCGAAAATTCGCTCATTACCTTACCTGGTCCGCTGACCTATGCTCCAATATTAGTGTTCAATCGATTCTGTAATTCGACCCAGGGAAAGGGCGGCCTGACTCAAAATAACAACGATAGACGCGGGAGCCGATAAAGGCATCATCTAGTCACAGTGAATAATGACTAGACATTGATGGCTAATCAATAGTGATGAGATATTTGGTTACATGTCTTAATGCAGAAGATTTTGTTATTAATCTTGTTTTGCGACTGATTGCTGACCCAATCCTCTTACTAATATTTACCCCCATAAAATGCCATTCTATCACTTTCGGGGGTAATTACCCCCAGGTTGAGAACTCCTGGTCCAGTACTACTTCGCGAATCAAACATAGTTGATATTGTTAAACGCTGCTCACGGGAATCCAATCAACCAACGATGACTCAGCCTTGGAGTTGAGAACGATACCCACCGCAGCTTGACCAGGGACTGCAGCATCAGCGTCTCTGGATGCGTGCAACCCATAGCGAGACGACAAGCCGAGTGTGGTTACTTCAACAACCCTGCGAGTCATTGATCTTAATTTCGTACACACAACGTCAATACTCAGTGTGCTCAACGTGCGTGCGAGTACAGCCTGTCGATTTGGCAGAGTGCGCACGTTGAACGCCGCCAGGGAAACGGGACAACGTGGTCCCATAAGGGACTGTTGGCAATGTCCATCCAGTGAGTGGTGCGGGAGGACAGCTGCAGATAGCAGAACTGCGGTTGCATTGCGGCTGTTGTCGACTAAGCTGAGGGTTATAGAAGAAAGGTTAGTAATGGGAGTTGGGAGTAAAGTAAGAGAAACGGGTGAGAAGGGAAGGAGGCGCCAGCAGTAGCAAATTTTCGCTTGTCCACTTTGCAGCCGGCCCGTGGCCTAGAAGTAATGAGTTTGTCTCGCAATCTTGCGGTGCGGGTTCGAGCCTGCGCAGCGGCAGGGTGATCCTGGTGGTATCCTAAGTCCACGTGTGACCGGTGGTGGTTGCGGGGCAGCGAAGCATCGTTACTGCGGACCGGCGTACTGCTGCGTTTTTTGTATCCACTTTGAAGCAGATAAGGTGACCACTAATAAGTTGGGTGAAGGCCAATGCAGAATAGGTTGAAGAATGAGGAATTAATCATAGTTGCAGGTGGGTTGGATTACTTCCAGGGCGCCCAGATCTAGATAGGAGAACGGTTAGGGTCCTCAACGAAAGCTTTTGGCTCAAGTCTGTCCGTAAGACGGCAGAAGGCGGTAGTGATTTAGTTTTACAGAAATGGACAGCATCCAAAGCTGGATGACAAGGAGACTGAATTCGTCTTACCTCAAACGATTGATTTACCTGGTATGACTAGCTCTCAAGGGGCCCGGGAAACCACCCAGTATAGCTCTATTGGTTGAAGAGGTGCGTAAAATTTCGAACCACGTTTAGGTCCAGTCTCGTTTCGATGGGGTGCTGACGAACTCCACTCGCTGAATCTCAAGTCCCCATCGGGCATCATCTCCCCTTCGTGACTGATTTGTTCAACAGGCCGCTGTCCGAGGGCGCATTGTCGCTCTACTGAAAACGCTGGGAAGTGAAGCCAAGTGGGAAGGGAGGTGACCGAAGCGAGGTGGACAATTACTGACCAACATATCTGATCGCAGTTGTGGCCGAATTACTCGAAAAGATCTTGGATGAGGTTTTGTTGCGGCTGCTGTGTTCGAAAAAACTCCTGATGCAGGCAAAGTACGGCTTCATTAAATACCGCTCCTGCATCACTAACTTGCTCGTCTCGCGGCACGAACGATTACAAGCGCTGAACAGGGGGAAGTCAATCAACGTGATCAACATAGTTTTCAGTAAAGCCTAACCACGTGGTCGTCCTCCACAAACTGCGAGTGTGTGGTGTTGATGGCTCACTGCGCCAATGGACCAGCGACTTCCTAATTGGGCGGAAGTGTAGTTTACGGGTGAATGATCGTTTAGCTGACTGGTGTCCTTCCACTTTGGCGTACGCCAAAACACAGTGCTAAGGCCGATTTTGTTCCTGATCCACATAGACGATTCATCTCAGCTTCTTCGGCGACCCTGTGAGTTATTTGCATAGAGCGTGAAGACGTAAAAAATAATTGATACTCCCGGCGACTACGGTGTATATCAGCCTAGTCTCGACTGCCTGTTCATGTAGTCTGGGGATGTGGATCTACGGGTCAACCTAGTCAAAGTCGTCATTTATAAGCCTGGTGACTGGTGGTGATGGGCGTATGTACATTCTTACTGTCAAATCATTCGAGACGAGGCAGAGATGATCAAACCTGTACAACACATCGTTACGATGCTCATTCCCGGTTTACGGAGATTGCCGTTCGTAGACTGCTAAGAGAAACTAGGACTGTACACATTACCCTATCGTCGGTTGCGAGTCGATCTCAGCATGGCCTACCGTATATTGTACATCGGTGAGTTCTCCATGTTGAGGTCGCTGCTTCACTTGCGAAGGTTATGCAACCATGATCACACCAGTACAAGCTTGTGGTGCCGAATATTAGGCGATTTCCCCGTTCCCTGTACTTTGAAGGGAGAATGCTGACTACAAAAAAGCGGACCTGAGAGATCCACACTTGTGTTGTTGCATCCTAGTTAGATGGGCATATGCATGGCAGCATGTCGTCGACTCCTGCTCGTTTACAGCATAGTACAGTTGCGCCATATCCTATTCTAGTGCGATGCGCTCTCGAAATCTGTTATCCGCAAGTTGTGCATCTAGGCATAACTAGATTTCCGACATCGATTTCGTTTCAAATATTCTCCGGTGAAAACCGTTCCAATAATTCCCCGGTTGTCCCTCTAAGCATAAAGGGTGAGCTACACGTTTCTGATCCGGCACTAGGAGCTTGCACTGGTGCCCAGGAGTGCTGCTTGGTGCGCGCATGTGCAGCAGTGGTCTCAGCATAAGAAGTGGCCCAGAAGCAATATCCGGCGCGTCATACTGAGGTCAATTCTAAACCGACGATACGCAGGGTGTACAGCCCTAGTTTTATGCATTGGTCTTCGTAAGACATAACACGTAAACTGTGGATGAGCCTGATAGCAACGTATTGGACACGTTCGATCAGCTGTGCCACGTTGCGAGTGTTTTGACAATAAGAGGGCGAGCTGTACTTTAGCATTGGTTTCACGATGGAAGAGAAGCAGCGAGTGGATAAGTCTTCAGTCTAAGTGCATGAGCTGCGTTTGAGCGCCGAAGTATGCGTAGTCCGTTTAGCTATACTCTGTTCGTGTTGTGCATGGACTTAAAATTGCAGTGTAAGAATACGCATAGGCACTTCGCGGAAGGTGTGGGATGTGGCGGTCGGCCGTCGAGGGTATAGGTTCGGCAGTCACCTTCCTTCCCAGACTCATGGAAAGTGGCTTGTCTGGGTTGACAGGGAGATAGAATTCTGTATACCAGATGGAGAGGTAGTTGAGGTCCTTTTGAAGACGGCCGCAGTCATAGGTGCCAATCTCTTTCCAATCCTCAAGTGGCCTGCTAACATAGTAGCCCCAGCAGGTTGCAAGAATAAGCAGTATTCGTGTTTGTATTGTGTGCAACTACAGATGAGTTCTTCTGGGTAGGCACCTAAGTGATCACAGGCAGCTTAGTCTGACGCGTGTGCTAATACATCTGACAACAAGAGTTGTGCTTCCACACAAACAAAAATAACTCGTGGGGTGCGTGCACTGCGCCAAAGCAAGTGGCTTTTTAACCAATAATAATGTCTGGTTCGTTCATTTTCCCCAACGTCCTATGAAAGGAATGGTAAGCTCCAGCTTACGTGGTCCTTAACATCTGACTTGCCTGGGACAAGTGCTCCTGATGTGGCTTGCGAATGGTCATCTAACGTGCTTTCGTGGATCGCGAAGTCGCGCAAAAGTGATCGAGAGTCCTTCGCATCAAAACACGGAACGCAGAACCAACAATTGAACAGCACGTGCGGAAGAAATCTTGTGATTAACATGAACCCTAACTAGGCAAGCGATCGCTCATGGACAAACACGGACGACAAAAGTCGTTCGATAAAATTGCCAATATGTAGATAAATAAAACAGGAGTCCGGTAGGGAGACACAAAAGCACAGAGGAAAGCGAGTGGTTTGTTGTATCGTCAACATAACAGATAAGAACGTGTAGATGAAACTAATGGTATGAACACACTCTGAACCTACCTGATATGCACGCTCACCAATGGCGACCTTGAGACGACCACTGACAGGTAAACTGAGGTACTTAGCGGGGGAAAGCCGACATCGAAACGATCGTGATGGCTGGTAAGTTTCGGTCAACACGATGCACGGGATCAGATGTACGCTTTCTAAGTAGACGCGGCCCACGAGATCCGTGACGTTTCTCCCCAAATTTCTGCCACTCACTGTCAGCACAGCTTGCCCGGTCAGCGTGCCGTTGAGAGGAGTAAGCTGAGGAGTAATGAAGAAAATTGAGCGATAGAAAAACATGTCTGTCGATCTGACTGCCGAGCCCCACTGTTGTTGCCGCTCAAGCTGACTTGCTGCCTTAAGTGAACATGGTAGGTTGTCGAGATTTGATTAAGAAAGCTCCATCTGCAGAGGGGAACGCGAGTAGTTATCTGATGAATGTGCATATGGAGAACTCCTCGAAATGTGATACGCTGCATTTGAGATGGTTATTTGAGGGATTAACGATGACAATATATAAAGCAATAGTTCTACTAATACAAAAATGGAGGACGGCCCGTAGACATGACGACATGAGGAACGTAACCGCAAACTTGGCATCAGTCGGACCGGTGCGGCTTCCAGGCGGGCGACCAGGTGACTATAATCGCAGTGGTTTGCAACGTTGGATGGTATGGCCCGCAATAAATATCAGTGGCGTCAGGGTTGTTCTACCGTATAATGTACTAATGAATCGCTAATCGAACACAAAAATTCTCGAACAGAAAAGTGTGGGAAAAAACAAAGGACGTCACTTTTTCGGTACTACATTTCACTGTTTTCTTGTTCTGCCATGGTCCTGATGGCACATTGAATGTAACCAGCTCGTGAATATATACATATACATATATATATATATATATATATACGTGAGGTATTCAAAAAGTAACCGCTTTGATTGTCCATTGCACAGCGTTTCAAACACTTTCTCCCTCAAAGTAGCCACCTGTACCAGCAATACACCGTTCCCACGGATGCTTCCATCGTTGGGACGCCCCCTGGAACGCACTTTCTGGGATAGTGCGCAGGTCTCTTGTCGCATTGTCCTGAATCTGCTCTTTGGTTTGGAAATGATGTAATTTGAACTTGGTGTTAAGTTTGGGAAATGAGAAAAAGTCTGCTGGGACTAGGTTTGAAGAATACAGTGGATGAGGCACAACGGGAGGGTGATATTTTGCTAGATAGCTGCAGACCAGAAGTGATGCGCGAACCGGCGCATTCTCATGATGCAACATCCAAGTCTGGTTTTCCCACAGTTCAGGCCTCTTCCTGCGAACAGCATCCCACAACCGCGCTACAATTTGAGGGCATGATTGTACGCTGACGTCCGCTTCGTCTGCAACTTCCGCAAGAGTTAAACGACGATTTCCATGGATCACAGCAAAAACTCTCTGTCTATGCTCATCCTCTGTTGATGTGGTAGGTTGTCTAGGCTTGGGATCGTCACCGACCGACATTCTACCGTGTCCAAAACACTTAAACTGCTCAAAGCACTGCGTGCGACTCCTACGGTCCTCCCCGTATGCTTGGCTAAACAAGTGAAATGTCTCTGTAAAAGTTTTACCAAGTTTGTAGCAAAAAAATTTACACACCCGCGTTGTTCTTCCAACGTTTTCATTGTCTCTTTGGCACTAATCCGACAAACAGCTTGTGGACGTTCTCAATTCGGCGGCTGTAGCTTGCCAACAGTGAGAGCGAAATGCAGCAAATGACAGTTAGTTGTCTAAGCACGCCACCACATGCGCTCAGTAGCCGCAGCACGCTTGCTCTGTTGGTTGCCGAGCTAATTCAAAAGTTCGGTTTCTTTTTGGACACCCGAAATATATATATATATATATATATATATATATATATATCATGTTTGCCACGCTGTTGATGCCCACACAAACCGTAGAACTGACTCGGTGAAAAAGGACTTCTATCATCTATTGAAATAGCTCTTAGTTATAGATAAAGCACGGATATTGTGAGACTATAATGAACTATGAATTTATACGGACTATGATGCGTTGCTTTACAAGTCCCGTTGGATAGTTAGTGGGGATATAGAAATAATAATAATAATAATAATAGTAAAACAATTAGTACTTTAAATATGAAAATAAGGACTTATCGGTTGCTCCGCCGTAGTTCTGCAATACACTTAGATTCACAGCACCCATAGTTAACATCAAATAATTCCATAGTAAACTCCAGGTTCAGGGTGGAGACGTAGTGCTAAGTGACAAAGTGAAGTGGATGAGTGCATCATCCAACCGCCTTTTAAATACTGTTAGTGTCAGTGCAGACGACCGATTCTGGGAGAGCATTCCATGGATGACAGACACGGATTGAAAAGAAATTTCTGTGGTATTCCAGACGGCTATACTGTTCTGTGAGTTGCAATGAGTGGCTCCTCAGGGTTGTATTGGTGCTGAGTCGCAGTAAAGGGCGGCACACATTATGTACGTCTGGCAGAATCAAGTATGCGATAGCTTTCACCGAATACCCCCAATCGTTACAACCTCTCCTAGTAGGAAAGATTGCGAATTCTAATTAGGTTCTTAAATGCCTGACGTTGAAGCTGCTCCAGTGCATTAAGGTCGTGTTTCAACCATGGATTCCAGGCTTGAATTGCGTATTCGATATCCAGAGGAACATACGCACTGAGCACTTGGCGAAATATGGAGCTGTTCATTTGTCCAACCGCCCGTCGCAACAGCTCGACGTGTTGGTTTCTAGTCTTCGAGGCCTTTCCGGACTGTCTGTAGTAACTCAAGTCACCTTGAACTAGCACACCCAAGTCACGTTCGACAATTGATCGTTGCAGTACATTCGTTTCGAGCCGGGATGAGTAGCTGTTATGATACCGGATGGAAAATACCTTGCATTTAGCAGCTGGTAAACCAAATGCCCAAGTTGGACAACGATACACTAATGTGTTGCATCTGCGCTCCCAACACAGTGTAGGCTCCTGTAACTATGATGGTGAGCGATTGGTACACTTATGTGAAGATGCTTGTTTATTACCCACGAGCACCAACCTCCGACAAAAAAGCCGTAGAAGAGCGACACGGCGGCCAATAGCTTCGGACCAGCCGTGTGCACAAGTCGATCACATGGAGATCAGTTACCATTGGAGGAGAGGTGTTTAAACCAGCCGCTAAATTTAGAGCGCGAGCGTGGACACCGATCCCAAACCTGTATTTGCCGACCCACGGGTGCACTTCGGCGGACGTCCGCGACGACGCCATGAGCGCATAGACACTTACCAACTGGCGAAGCCACGTGTTTTTATGTATATCGGAGTACGCTGACACGAGGATTGAGTAAGCGCTTAATGAATACAGTTGTAGATCACTGATTGCATGCCCGCTAGACGTTACAAACAGCAGGCATGTCTTTATGTAGTAAATCTGATTGACAACCTAGACAATGGGTGGCTACGCAGTTTCTGGAACTTTGGGATGCTCGCCGACGTGTTATGGTTGGAAGCGAACACAACGAGATTAGCGAAGACCTCAAGGCAAAACTGCGTGCGATTTTGAGAAGAGACCGCGAAAGCTGGTGATCTCATCGAGCATCGGAGATGGAAATGGTGCTGACAGTGGTAACCATCGGGAGTTATTCCGTCTGATACGGAAAAGAGGCAGCAGGGGGCTGGTGTTAGCGAAAATTTATGAGGAGTGAATGAACAACCTAAACACAGGCTGTCAAAACGATTGAAGCGTTGGGTTTATCACTTTGAGAAGCAAGTTAATCAGCTGGAACTACTACATTAGCTACCAGCTATTGACCACCCTGCGCTCTGGGCCGTACTCTTGGGTCCACGCTCATGAGCGGAAGTCGAGCATGGGATCAGATAGTTAAACCTGGACAAGGCAGCAGGAGCAGATGGGTTTCCTACTGCACTATACAAATTCTGAGGAACAGCTTTTGTGCCTTATTTACACAAATTACTAGTGAAGATGTGGGAGCAGGAGGCTGTACCAAGAGAATGAAACCACTCCGTTATGGTACCAGTTTTCTAGGGAATGAGTCAAAGAGAGGGGACCAGTCTGATCACAACTGTCTCTAAACTACCTGAATGACACCCGTGAATGTCAGATAAGCGAGAAGCAAGCCGGGTTTCGTTGAAATCGAAGCAGTATCTAAGACATCTTCAGATTACGTCAATTGTAGGAACACCGCCATATTCATTGGCGACCCACCGTAGTCATGTTGCTTGACATCAAAGATGCTTTCGATGCGGTGGATTGATGTGTTCTTTGGAACTGTCTGCTTAGTTGGATTGTAAATCATGACGGTCCGACACTGTCCCCCGTTGCGCAGTGGCATAATCTGATGACTGGTGATGAAAGCAGCTGGTGGTCATGGGTTCGAAATCTGAAGGATCCGATGGATGCGCACTACTGATGATACACACAGGTTGAAACTGCAGTCTAGTGTTTTTCCTGGCAAGTGGACGACTATCTGATTTGGAATCTGCTGAGACGAACGCTTAATTAAAATTAAGTAAACGTCATGAAAACGCAGTATACGCATCGTTTAGGCAGAGTGAGGTCTTAGGCAAACTTTCGCTGTTCAGCAATATCCCCAGCGGTATGAAACAAGGATGCCCTCCGTCACCCTCTCTTTTTAACTTCCTCGTTGACGAAGCCATGGTAACGGTGAAGCTGTTCTCAGGTGATTGATTTCCCTACTTGGAGTACGCCAAAGACATTGTCCTAATTTGTGACAGCTGCATTGGACTGATCAGCACTGGCTGACAGTGGTTTCGGGCTATGCTTTACACACTCGAAATGCAAAGTCCTCCACAAAGATTGGCGGGGATCCACCTCTGCGTTGACCAATAGTGATGATCAGCTAAAAGTTCTCCATAACTTCAAATACCTTGGCAGCTATATTATATTAGCTCCAATGGAAAGTGACGAAACGTATAGTAAACTTTCGAGGCATTTTGTTCATGACCTCCAAGTAAGGCAGAGTTTACAATGCAGCCGTCCGTTCAACCTTCCTGTACGGTTGTGAAATATTGCCCATCAGATGACATATGTAAGGAGGCTAGTTATGTTAGATTACCGTTGCGTTCGCAGCACAACACACATCTGGTGGAACAAAGCGTGAGTAATGAGCTTGTTCGGTGTCGGGTATTTGATGTAGCAAGAGCGAGTGAATCGTTCAGCATTGTTACATCACGCACCAGGCTCCGATGGCTGGGCCACGTGTTGCGAATGCCAGCA